AAAACACAGGGGTACTTTAGAAGACATTATATACGGGAGTCTCTGTGGTTAAACTGGGAGAAGATTAAAAGACAATGTTATTTGAAAATTCAAGTCTGACTATCAACTATTGAAGCATTTTCTTATCCTATAATATACAAAAAGGAACAAACAGTTAGATATAGTGAAATATTGAATGAAAAGGGTGAACTTAATACAAAAACTAGAGGAACAAGGCATAAAGATGAATTGGTTTTCTTATGCGCAAATACATTCAAGGTATGATAAAGATTCTAAAACAGAAGGTTTCTATGATAAACTGACTGATTTAGATAAGATTTTGACAGGTACTGATGAAAAGGTGATTAAAAATTGTATGGATATTTATTAGAAATTAAACTAGAAGAAGAACAAGTTGAAGAAATTATGATTGCTTGGGGGAAGAATTTTGGATATGGGATTGATCTAGAGAAATGGCAAAAATTGTGGTCTCAAAATTATAAAATGACAATGTCAACAACATATAAAGAAAATTTGTATAAGATGTTTTACAGGTGGCATTTTCCCCCAACAAGAATAGCAAGAATGTTCAAGAATAAATCCAAAAATTGTTGGAAATGTCATCAGACACCTGGCTCATATTACCATATGTGGTGGACTTGTGCGGATGCTAAAAAATACTGGACTAAAATCCACACGTGATTGGAAAAAATGACAAAAAAACATATAGGTTTGAAATCAGAGATATTTTTATTGGGAATTTTACCTGAAATATATAGTAAAGACTTGAAATACCTGATTGTAAATGTATTAACAGCGGCTAGGATTGTATTTGCTAAAAATTGGAAAAATGAGAAAACATCATCACAGGAGGAAATTATTAAGAAAATATTGGAATGTGCTAAAATGAGCAGATTGACATTTGAAATTAGAGAACAGGATGATAAACAATTTTATAAAGTTTGGGATCTATTCTATCAATGGTTAGACAATAAAGTATAGTAACGAAATATGTAGACTTTTAGAAAATACTAAATATATAGATGTATTCTTTCCTTATTATATCTACAAAATGATTTTAGGATAGATTTGGGATGATAATATGAATTGTCACAAAACAAATTAAGTAAAATATGATTATTTCCTAAAGCATGAATGAATAAAAGTATAGTCAAATGATTGATTAATAATGATACCAATGTATTTAATATTGGATTGAAAATATGAGATCATATACAATGTAATTGAAGACTACGAAATGGAAGCACAAAACAATTTGTAAACCAACCGGCACACTGTATGTATATATATGGAAGATGGCCTGATGTTTTTATGTTTTGTTTGTTTATGTTTTGTTTGTTTATGTTTGTTTTAAAAACCAATAAAATTAAAAAAAAAACCATGCATACAATGAGATTGAATAGAACACATTCAGCCGAGGTAGCAACCAAGTCTGGGGCATTTTAAGAACTGACCTTTTTATTGTGCTACTTTGTGATGGATATCAATATCCATATTCCAATTATTCAAGGGGCTACCATAAAGAAAAGGGGTCAAACTATTCCTCAAAGCACTTTGAAGGCAGAATAAGAAACAATGGATGGAAACTAACCAAGGAGAGAAGCAACCTGAAATTAAGGAGAAAATTCCTAACAATGAGGACAATTAACCAGTGGAACCACTTGCCTCCAGAATTTGTGGGTGCTTCATCATTGGAGGCTTTCAAGATGAGATTGGACAACCATTTGTCTGAAATAGTATAAGGTTTCCTGCTTGAACAGCGGGTTGGACTAGAAGACCTCCAAGGTCCCTTCTAGCTCTATCCTGATTGATTGAATGTTTGCGTGAGAGTTTTTGTTCTGAGGAAACCAGTGGATTTACACTTCTTCAAAGTGTCAGAAAGATTAAAGGGATCAGTGTTTCTCACCCTTGGCTGCGTGAAGATGTGTGGGTTTCAATTCCCAAAATTTCCCAGCTGGTCATTTCCCCCAGCTGGGGGAATTCTGGGAGAAAGTCCACATAATTTCAAGTGGCTGAGATTGAAAAAAGACTGGGATGGATGGATGGATGGATGTAGAGGGAGAAATGGTATAGCTAGACAGATGGTAGCTAGAGAAGAAAGACAGACAAATGGATATATAGATTGAGGACAGACAGGCAGACATAAAGAGATGATACATAAGTAGAAAGGGGAGTGGTTGCGTGGGTGGGAGGAAGGAAGGAAGGAAGAATGGATGGATGGTAGATAAACAGATAGATAGATAGATAGATAGATAGATGGATAGATAGATAGATGGATGGATGGATGGATAGATAGGTAGGTAGATAACTGGAGAGAGAGAGAGAGAGACAGATCAGAGACAGACAGTGATGATACATAGGTGGGTAGGTAGGTGGGTAGGTAGATTAGATAGATAGATAGATAGATAGATAGATAGATAGATAGATAGATAGATGGATGGATGGATGGATGGATGGATGGATGGATGGATGGATGGATGGATGGATGATGGCTGGCTGGCTAGATGGAAAGATGGATGGATGGACGGACAGACAGACAGACAGAGACAGACAAAGGCAGGCAGGCAGACATAGATGATACATAGGTAGGTAAGTAGGCAGGTAGGGTCTCTTCCAAAGAGACTCACTTATCAGCCTGGATTAAGAAAACCTGGGTTAAAAAACCTGGATTAATCATTGCCAGAAACTTTTTAAAAGCTGGTTTTTGCATCCAGGTCTCCTTCACCATTTCCAAGATGGGACTCCTAAAACTATCCATCTCCCTCCCACCCCCAAACCCAGTAGTAGGTGATTCCTACCACAGCTACCTCACTTATATCAGGCAAGCAAAGGCCGCTCTCTCTGGAACTTTTCCATCGGTACCAATATTTTGGTAGGTCATAGTGAAGAGGAAGTGATATTATTACTACCAGAGTCCTTTGAAATCTTTGGCTATTGGGGGCGGGGGGGGGGGGTTCAAAGCAGCTTCCTGCAACCACTAAGCCTCATTGCCACCTCCCCACCCCTCCTCAAAAGAGAGAGTGTGGGGTAAGGCAAGCATGATGGTTACTTTAGACGCAAGATGATGTTGGGGTTGATTCTAAAAATGGTGGGAATCTCTGGTTGCTAGTTCACAATTCTCATCGAGGCCAAGCATTTAATTCAATGACCTCCAGGTCCAGTGAATAGAAGACTTGAATAACAGAGCTGGAAGGGACCTTGGAGGTCTTCTAGTCCGACCCCCTGCTTAGGCAGGAAATCCTGACACAACTTCAGACAAATGGTTATCCAAACTCTAATCTCCTAAATCTATCTAAAAGCGAAATACCCCTCACCCATCATCACAAAATCTCCAGAACTGTAAAGCCTACGAAATTGAAATTCGACCTGTAAAGCCTACAAACTTGAAATTCCTCTTGGCTTCTAGGTGCTCACTAAGAAAGGATTTTTCCAAATGACTATTAGTATTTCATATATTATAATTACTGTATTATTAACACACTTTTATGCTAAGGAGTTCTACTTCCCACCTGAAAAAAATTCTGTTCCAAAGGCAAAACACAAGCAGAGGAGAGGAGTTTCAGTTTCACAGCAGCACCAAGCAGCTTTGGTACAGAACAGTTGAGCTAAGCCATGCCCAGGCTCCTTGCTGTCTCCTCCCTCACACAGCAAATGCTCTTTCAGTTTCCAAACAGCCCTCAACTCTCTCATACACTGACAGGATGCAAGCCAGATGAATATCGATGGATGCTGGTAGGCAGAGGCAGAATTTTTACCCTCTTATTTTCCTCCCCCCAAACTTGCCCAATCACATAGTTTCTTTGCAAAGCACAGGTACCCAACTAGTTTACAGGTAAAAGCTTTCTGGGGGGAGGAGGAAGGGTGAACCTAGCCATTTATTAACCCCTGAGCTTGGAAATAACCCATTTTTAGAATCATCTCTCACACACACACACCCATCCCGGAACAGAAACCCTCCTCTGCAAATACCGAGAGAGAAGCCGCCAACCGCTCTCCTTGCACATCTGTGCCAGCTGGAGGGGGAAACAGGAAGGTGGTGACTTGGCACAATCCGGCCTTCCCTCCCTGCCATTCACAGCTTGCTATATATAGTCTTGGATTTCAGCACCAGCCATTTTAACGGAGAGGCGGGGGTGGGGAAGGGGTTGCACAGGAGGGAAGTTCAGCAAGAGCATCCTTCGTTGCCCGGGAGCGCCGGTTCGCCTCCTTAGCCGGGACTCGGGAGAGGAGGCCGAGGCACTGCGGCTTGCCTCCTTTCGCTGGCCCGGGGAGGAAGGCCCATTTGTCCCCCTCCACCAGCCCCCGTTTCAGGAGTTCAGAAACCCTCCTGGCAGGGCAAAACCCCCACCGGTCACGTTTGCTCCAGTCACCAAAGCCCCCGAATCGCTCTGGCACCGGGCGCATCCTTCCCAGCTGCGCCAAAAGGCAGGAGCGAGAAGGGCGCACGGTGTAGCCCGGTTGCGCTTCGCTCCGGACAGCCTCTTCCTTTCTCCCTTCTCCCTTCTCCTCCTCCTCCTCCTCCTCCCTGGAAAGACCTCTCCCCACCGTCCCCAGGGCTTGGCCCGGCCTCAGCTCCTGCTTGGAACCGAGCGCAGCGCTGCTACGTGCTCCCGGCTGGAGACACGGGTTTGGCACCCCTGGAGCGCGCCTCTTCCTCCTCCTCCTCCTCTTCTTCTTCCTCCTCCTCCTCCTCCTCCCCCTCTTCTTCTTCCTCCTCCTCCTCCTCTTCTTCTTTCTCCTCCTCTTCTTCCTCCTCTTCTTTCTCCTCCTCCTCCCTGGAAAGGCCTCTCCCCACCGCCCCCAGGGCTTGGCCCGGCTTCAGCTCATGCTTGGAACCGGGCGCAGCGCTGCTGCGTGCGCCCGGCTGGAGAGACGGGTTTAGCACCCCTGGAGCGCGCCTCTTCCTCCTCCTCTTCTTCTTCCTCCTCCTCCTTCTCTTCCTCCTGCTCTCCTTCTGCCCTTGTCCGGGCAGCGAGAGCAGCAACCCCATCCGCACTCACCTCCCCGCGCCTGGCCGGCTGCGCTCCCCGCTTGCAAGCCGCCCGCTTCCCTCGCCTGCACCTCTGGCTCGCCCCGCGCCGGGAAGGAAAGACTGAGCGCAGCAGCGGCGGCGGAGCGAAAAGCGGGCTGTTTACTAGCCGGCTCTCGCGAGAGGAAGGAGCCACGGCCCCCAAAGTGGAGGGGGGTGGAGTGGGGGGTGGGAAGAGGGAAGGAGGGCCGGCCGCCGCCGCCGCGGATTGGCTTCCCGCCGGAGCCGGAGGCTGAACCACGCCGAGCTGCGACAACGCCGCGTGGAGATGCTGGTTGCGGGGCCGGAGGTTGGAAGAGGCACGAAAGTGTGATTTTTCCCCCCCACGACGAACGTTTGCCCCTCTTCACTTTGGAGAGCGAGCGAGGGAGAGAGAGAGGGAGGGAGGGAGGAAGAGAGACAGAGAAGTGGAAGGGAGAAAGAAAGAAAAGAGGAAGAGAGAAAGAGAAAGGAAGAAAAAGAAAAAATAAAGAACGAGAAAGAAAAAGCAGATAAAAAGAAAGAACAAGAGAAAGAAAGGAAGCGAGTGAGATAGAACGAGAAAGAGACAGAGAAAGAACGAAAGAGAAAGAAAGCGGGGAAAAATGAGAAAGAAAAAGACAGAAAAAGAACGAGAGAAAAAAAGCGAGGAAAAAATGAGAACGAAAAAGACAGAGAAAAAGAACGAGAGAAAGAACGCGATAAAGAATGAGAAAGAAAGGACGAGAGAGAGAGAAGGAAGGAAGGAAAAGACAGAAAGAAAGAGAAAAAGAAAGAAAGAAAAAAAGAAAGAAAGAAAGAAAGAAAGTAAATAAAATCAGGGCTTCCCCTTTAAAAGGTTCGGGTTGAGACTTCTGGACTTCTTGTCTTGGGGGAAGGAAGAAAAAGGTTGGGGCTTCTCGGCACCTGTGCGTAAAAGCGCTTTGGCATCTCGGCTTCGGGAATGTCGGGGAGCCAAACGGCGCTTGGATCGCACTGGATTCCCTTCCCTCTTTTCTCCTCCGGCGAACCTTCCCAGGTGGGAAACGAGAAAGGAGAATGAAAGGAAAACCCGGGCTTGGCAAGGATCAGAAAGCGAAGAGGAGTAGAGGGAGCGAAGGCTGCTGGGGAGCAAAAAAACCTCTAAATTCGGTTTCCTTCTAGATCTTCTCCCGCGCGCGCCTCGATTTCTTTCCTCGCTCCTGGCATCATTTTCGCTTCCCTTTCGCTTCCCCGTGGCTTTCGTTTTTATTTTTTATTTTATTCCCTTTATTCTGCCGGGATCTCCTTCTTCAGTCCATTTCACCCGGGTTCAAAAAGCTCTTCCCTTCTGTCAGAAGGATTCTTGCATTTCCTTTTTCTAGTAAGATTGTGTTCTGTGGCTCTTCGCACAATCCTCCTTTCCTTGTGCCTGATATAATTACTGTCACCAACCCATCATCCTTTGCCTCTTACAATTCTAGCAACTGGCAGCGTAACTCCATGCATTGGACTACCTATACTTCCATAGTCATTGCTGTGCCCAAAAAGTGCCCCCCCCCAAAAAAAGTATTGGGGTTTTTTTGGCGGGGGGGGGGTGTTGTCCTCTGAAAATGATTCACCTCTCATCCAAAAAGCTTCTTCGGTTCAGAGAAGAGAAGTGAAATGTTTCCAAGGGAAAAGTCTGTGGAGATTCTCAGTCATCCAGGTTGTCCCAAAGGGGATTTTTTTTCAGGAGGCAACTGGATATTCTTTTTTTTCTTTTCTTTTGAAGACATTTCGCTTCTCATCCAAGAAGCTTCTTCAGCTCTGACAGGGTGGTGAGGAATGGAAGGATATATATTCCTTGCAGACAACTCAGAGGTGGCATTCAGCAGGTTCTGACCAGTTCTGGAGAACCGGTAGCAGAAATGTTCAGTAGTTCGAAGAACCGGCAAATCTCTGACTGGAGATTTTACAGTATCCTTCCCCTGCCACGCCCACCAAGCCACGCCCACAGAACCTGTAGTAAAAAAAATCTGAACCTCACCACTGAGCCAGCTGGTCATTTCCATTCTCTCTGGGAGTCATTGAGGCCACTTGGAAGTTTATGTGGGTCCTCAAGGTCATTTCCAGAGGAAATTCCAGAGGATTTCCAGTGGAAAAATTGCAGACAACAGGAACCATTAGCACTACTCAGCTGACCCTGAAGACATAGATAAACCTCCAAGTCACCTCAACAACCCACAAAAAGGATGCAAATGACCAGCTATCGGCAAGGAGTATAAATCCTTCCTTTCCCCACCATTCAGTCAGAGCTGAAGAAGCTTCTTGGGTGAGAAGTGAAACATCTTCAAAAGAAAAACAAGAAAGTCCAGCTGCCTCTTGAAAAAAAAAGCACCTTTGGGATTTCCAAAGAACCCGCCCCCCCCCCAAAAAAAACAAAAAAAACAAATCAAGAACGTCCAGTTGCTTGTTGGGAAAAGCATCGTTGGCACAACCCTGATCTGGGTGATTGAGAATCCCAATATACATTCATTCCCGCGCCACTAATGAAGATTTTAAAACATGCTTAAACCATGAATTCAAAACACTCTATGCCAAACAGTCACCGTGTTTATTCAGAGTGTCTTCAATTTTCCCAAAGTTGGACCAACTTCTTCTAGATATTCTTCCTGTTTGTACTAGTCTCTTAAGCAAATAAAATAACCCAGATGACACGGTGTTTAGTAAGCACGAACAAAGCATAAACCATACAAAATTAATAAAACTTTTTTTAAAAAAAAAGAATAAATGAAAACATCTCCTTGATTCATCAGACGTATACTCATAAACTATGACGTGTTTTCAAATGAGATTAAAACACACATTGGTGTGTGGATTTCATCGCCTGACGCACTAGATTAGATTAGATTAGACTAGACTAGACTAGAATAGAATAGAATAGAATAGAATAGAATAGAATAGAATAGAATTCTTTATTGGCCACGTGTGAGAGGACACACAAGGAATTTGTCTTTGGTGCAAATGCTCTCAGTGTACATAAAGGAAAAGATACATTCCTGGAGAGTCAAGAATCATAAAATACAACACTTAATAACAGTCATAGGGTACAATAAGCAATCAAATCATACTAGGAAACAGTCAATAAAAATCATTAGGCTACAAGTAATAGGGTTACAGTCATACAGTCATAAGTGGGAGGGGATGAGTGAAAAGGAGTGGTGAGAAGATTAATAATAATAGTAATGCAGACTTAGTAAATAGTTGGACAATGTTGAGAGAATTATTTGTTTAGCAGAGGGATGGCGTTTGGGAAAAACTCCTTGTGTCTTGTTGTTCTGGTGTGCAGGGCTCTATAGCATCATTTTGAGGGTAGGAGTTGAACCAGTTTATGTCCGGGATGTGAGGGGTCTGTAGATATTTTCATAGCCCTCTTTTTGACTCATGCAAGATACAGGTCCTCCATGGAAGTCAGGTTGGTAGCCATTGTTTTTTTCTGCAGTCCTAATTATCCTCTGGAGTCTGTGTCTGTCTTCTTGGTTTGCAGAGCCAAACCAGACAGCTATAGAGGTGCAGATGACAGACTCAATATTAAAGGGGACTATGAAATTGCTCTCAAAATGTGCTTTTAGAGGCAGTCCTCGACTTATGACAGTTCCTTTAGTGACCGAAGTTACAATGGCACTGAAAGAAGTGACTTACGACTGTTATTTCCATGTTTAAGACCTTTGCGGTATCCCCATGATCATGTGATCAAAATTCAGATGCTTGACACGGAGGGGAGTAGGCAGTGGAGTACCCCAAAGGCTCTGTTTTAGGCCCAGTACTCTTCAGCATCTTCATCAAGGATTTGGACAAGGGGGTAGATGGGAAACTCATCAAATAATTTGCAGATAGAACCAAGCTGGCAGGAATAGCCGGAAGATAAAGGCTTAAGATACAGAAGGATCTTGACAGACTTGAACGTTGGGCCCTATCTAACAAAATGAAATTCAATGGTGGCAAAAGGAAGGTTCTACATTGAGGCCAGAAAAACCAAAGGCGGTATCTGGCTCAATAGCAGTAACTGTGAGAGGGATCTCAGAGTCTTAGTGGACAACCATTTAAATATGAGCCAGCCATGAGTTGCAGCAGCCAAAAAAGCCAATGCAGTCCTAGGTTGTATTAACAGAGGGATAGAATTAAGATCAGGTAGAGTGTTAATATCATTTTATAAGGCCTTGGTAAGGCCACACTTGGAATCCTGCATCCAGTTTTGGTCACCACGATGTAACAAAGATGTTGAGACTCTGGAAAGAATGCATAGAAGAGCAACAAAGAAGATTAGGGGACTGGAGGCTGAAACAAATGAAGAACGGTTGCAGGAACTGGGTACGTCTAGTTTGATGGAAAGAAGGACTTGGGTGTGACATGATAGCAGTCTTCCAATATCTCAGGGGCTGCCACAAAGAAGAGGGAGACAAGCTATTCTCCAAAGCCCCTGAGGGCAGGACAAGAAGCAATGGGTGGCAACTGAACAAGGAGAGAAGCAATCTAGAACTAAGGAAGAATTTCATGACAATTAAAATTAACCAGTGGAACAACTTGAGTCCAGAAGTTGTGGTTGCTCCAACACTGGAGGCTTTTCAGAAGAGAGTGGACAACCACAAGTCTGGAATGATATTGGGTCTCCTGCTTGAGCAAGGGGTTGGACTGGAAGACCTCCAAGGTCCCTTCCAACTTTATTCTGAATTTGAATTTGTTGTTATTACTTCTGCGGATGAGGCTATCCAGGATAGTGTGTTGTTCTTTTCTTCTTCTGTTGTGCGTTTTATTCCTTGGAACATGTTGATAGCTTCTGTCTCCAATTGTTCTATTTTTATTGCAACAACGGTGTGTTGTTGTCCACATACCAGGTTCATAATTTTGATTGTGGGAGTGTTCTAGTTTCTACCTGCTGCATTATGACCCTGAGGGCAGGGAGCCCATGGGTGTTCCTTAGATTTGTTGGCCTACCTGTCCATCAGACAGAAAAGAGGTAGTCCAGAAGCCTCACACTCTGTGAGAACAAGCAAGCTTGGGAAAGCAACAAGGACTCCAATTTCTGGATGCTGTTAGAAAATAAATTTTTGTTAAGCCAAAGTCAGCCAGTGCATTTCTCCGTTTGGCTTGGTGAGGTAAGAAGCAGTAGTTCATAATCTAGAGGGAATGTGTGTGTGCTATTCTCTACAAGTTAATCTATCTACCATCTCTAGAAATGATTATGACTTTGTGAAAACTTTTCTTTTCCTTTTCCCATGGCCCTGGAACCACAAGTTTAAAAAAAAGGTGGGGGCGAGAGAGAGAGAGAGAGAGAGAGAGAGAGAGATGGTGTATAAGTGACTAAGAATGAATCATTCAACCACTCTTTCTTAATTTCCTCTTTTCTTTTTTTCGAGCTACGGGGCAGAGGAGAAAAATACAAGCCCACAGAAAAGAGTGGAGAAATCTAGAATTGTAGCTTTCATGTTCTTGATGGCAGTTCTTCACCCTCCAACCCAAAACGAGTGGAGGAACAAATATAAGAGTTGCATTCAGACGTGCTTGCTGTTTAACAAGAATGTTATAGTTCCGTTTCCTGAAAATGAAGATTATTATTTTTTAAATGCTCTCCAGTTAAGGGTTATTATCATTTTTGATGTATTTATATACTAGTAATTAAGGGGTCTCAGGTGAATATTAAGGACCATTGTCTGTTTTATTTCCACCCTGTTAGAGGGGATGGTTTTGAAGGTAAGAAATGATAACCAGTGGCAGATTTACCCTGATAAAAAGGTAACAAGAGGCAGGGCAAAAATCGTTGCAGATTAAATGGTGGAAGGAATCAAGGATTCGGGTAAATGAAAATGTGGGTGATGATGGGTGGATTGTATGTAAACCCCGGAAGAATTTTGCAACAAGAGCTGTGTAGTTTTATCTGGCAGGGAAATCATAGTCACTCACATATAGAATCCTGCATCCAGTTTTGGCCATCATGTTATAAAACAGATGTTGAGATTCTAGAAAGAGTGGAGAGAAGAGCAACCAGGATGATTAGGGAACTGGAGGCTAAAACATATGATGAAAGGTTGCAGGAACTAGGCCTGGCTTGTCTAGGGAAGAGAAGGACCAGGGGAGACAGGAGAGCGGTGGTCCAATATTGGAGGAGGGGCTGCCCCAGAGAGGAGGGGGTCAAGCTGTTGTTGTGGTTCGCCGGCAGCAGGTGTGGTCGGCTGAGGTCTCGGAGAGCAAGGTCTCAGATGGGGGGCCTGTGTGTGATGCAGGGATGGGGCCAGGACCATCAGGGAGTAGAGCGCTGCCTTCGGAGATTGTGGAGGCTGGCAGCAGTGAGGAAGAGGCCCCCGAGGAGCCTGTGTCCAGTGTGTGTGTGTGCACAGGGCTGCTCAAAGGAAAGAGCAGCTGCAGCAGCACAGGTGATTCGGGAGTAAGGCTGCAAGGTAATGGCCCCTCCTTCAAGAGATAAAAGCCAGCTGAGAAACCGGAGTTCTTTGCAGGAAGCAACGGAGTTTTTGCACTTCAAGCCTTGTGGACATTCAGATTATCTTGGTTTGTGTTTGGAGACTCTTTGTGTTTGAACTATTTCTTGGCAACTTTATCTAGAGTTCTTGGCAGCCTTGCACAACCTTGGCAAGGCTCGTTCTTATCAGAGACAATTAGTTTGAAACAGCCTTTTAACCAGGAAGGAACGGGATTCATTAAAAGGTTGTGCTGTTACCTTTGTCTCGTGTTTGCTTCCTTGGAACAAGGTTTGGGTCAGAACAGCTGTTTTCCAAAGCACCTGAAGGCAAGACAAGGAATAATGGACGGAAACTCATCAAGGAGAGAAGCAACTTAGAATTAAGAAGAAATGTCTAACAGTGAGGACAATTAACCTGTGGAACAGTTTTCCTCCAGAAGTTGTAGGTGCTTCATCACTGGAGGTTTTTAAGAAGAGACTGGACAGCCACCTGTCTGAAATGGTATACAGCCTCTTGCCCAAGCAGGGGGTTGGACTAGATGACCTCCAAGGTCCCTTCCAGCTCTGTTGTTCTGTAATCTGTTAAATGGGAGGACACCAATATGAAGAATGTGCACAGCGACATCACGGTTGGGTTCGGTGACATGGTGTGATTTACCATACAAATAGTCCTTGACTTACAACAGTTCCTTTTAGCGGCCATCCAAAGCCACAACCATACTGAAAAAAAGCAACTTATGACTGTTTTTCACACTTGTGACCGTTGCAGCATCCCCGAGATCAAAATTCGGATTCTTGGCAACTGACTCACATTTACAACGGTCGCTGAGTCCCTGACCCCTTTTGGACCGCCTGACCAGTGAAGTCAATGAGAAAACCTGATTCCCTTAACAACCGGGTTGCTAACTTAACACCTGCAGTGATTCACTTAACAACAATGGCAAGAAAAGCCGTACAACTGGGCAAGACTCTCTTCATGAACGTCTCTGCTTAACAACAGAAATGCTGGGGCTCCATTGGGGTTCGTAAGTCGAGGGCAGCCTGTACTTTTATCACCGTCAAGATTTAACGACTGTAAAATATTAGACTGCAGAGATGGACAGGCTGGCATTAAGACTGAATGAAAAAGAGGAATCGACGTACTATACAGTCTGGGACGCCTGGTATGCATGGCTTAAGAATAAAAAGAAATTAAAGTTGTAATTAGGTAAAAGAATAAAAAATAAATAAAGTTGTAATTAGGTAAAAGAATAGGAAATTATGCATAGAAATGTATGTATCTACTGTGAAGAAAATAGAAATATATGGTGAAAATATATAAATTTGTAATAAGAATAAAGGAAAAAATATGCAATGGTTGTCAGGGTTCTGGCAGTTACTCTAATTAAATCATGAGCCTTGAACCACACTCCCAAAACTAAAGAGGATTTATTTGAAGATAACATTCTACCTCCGGCACTAATCTGAGTGCAGCCAGCTCTGTCACCCTTTATCCTGCTTTCCCACATACCCCTCTGGGTGTATCACCCAATGAAAAAACGTCCATAGCCAAGAGTCATCAATCGTACTCTCCAACTAGATTTTTGCGGGGCAGAAGCTTCAGTCATCTAATCAGTCTTTAAAGAATATATGAATGGAATGTACTTTCGATTCCACACTGCCACCTGCTCTTTGAAACTCCCCCTCTTCTTTCCCTTGTAAACTATAAAACGTGTATACAAAATGTTTTATGAGTTGACAATGGCAATGCAGTGTAACAAGAAAGTATGTATAGAAACATGATAAGGAGATGTAAACGATGCCTTTACATTGACACAATGATGTATATAATTTTATTTTAGGGTTTTAAAAACTTTTGAAAATTGAATAAAGTTTATTTTAAAAAAGCAGACTTAACGACCATAAATTTTCAAGGTCATAAGGTGAGGATGACTTGTATTTGTTTCACAACGAGGCAAGCGAGGACATCAGAGGCAACGTTGCTGTTGCAACGCCACAAAATCTTTCATCCACATTTCCTTGGGGAAGAGAGTTAGAGCAACAGAGGTGGCGGTGTGCTGATTGAATGTCGAGATCACAATTAATAATCATGATGGGGGAAAAACAAACAAACTGTGAGAGATTTGCAATGTTGGTTTTGTTTCGCCTGAGATAGACAGCCCTCACCTTATTCCGGGTTGCAAGAATCACCACTGAGGAGGGCGGCTTGGAACAACACAATATGATAAACTTACAAAGGAATTGCAGGAGAAGGAAGAAAACGAATACCGTATGGCAGTGGTGGCTAACTTTTGGGGGGGTCCCGTGCCAAAAATTGCACGCACTCTCTCTTGTGCACCCACCAAAAGCAATGTGCATGGGGGTCCCCACACCCTCTGTGCATGCACACGAGACACACACACACACACACCCCACGTGCCCTAAGCATCTCTCTTTATTCATTCTCTCATGTTTGTGTAGTGTATATTGGAGGTGGTGATCCTTTGAGAGCTGTATGCAATGAAATTTGATTTTAATGTATGCCGATTGGTTATTATTCTATTCTATTCTATTCCTATTCCTATTTCTATTTCTATTCCATTCCATTCCATTCCTTACAGTATTCTATTTTCTGTTCTATTCTTCATTCCAATATCTACTCTATTCTATTCTGTTCTGTTCTGTTCTGTTCTGTTCTGTTCTAATTCTAATCCTAATCCTAATCCTAATCCTAATTCTAATTCTAATTCTAATTCTATTCTATATTCTCCATTCCATTTTATTCTGCATTCTCTTCCCTTCCCTTCCCTTCCCTTCTATTCTACATTATCTTCTCTTATTTTATACTTCTCTTATTCTATTCCATTCTATTCTATGCTATGCTATTCTGCATTCTATTCTATACGTCTTTTCTATTCTCTTCTACATTCTCTTCTCTATGTCTATTTTATTCTGCATTCTATTCTGTCCTATTCTATTCTATTTCCTTATTCTATTTATTCTATTCTATATTTCTCCATTCTCTCCTCTCCTGACATTTTGCTTCTTCAGCTCTGAAATGTCTTCAGAGAAAAAGCAGAAAGTCCAGTAACTTCTACTACTGACCCGTTTAGGGTCTGCTTTTCCCACTGAGTAGTGAAACCATCCCCTTCAGAGAAATTCACAGCAGTGAGTAGCTGCCCTCCTTTCTTCTGTCCCAAAATTAGATCTGCAGAACAACAGCTGAGATGGAAGACGTGAGCCTGAGGCATTGTCGAGCCTAAGACATTGTAACAGTTTCCCGGAATCCACACTTCCTCCACCTATTAAACATTTACTAGAGGTTTCGGGGCTGACTGACCTTGCCACAGTAGTTCATGGGATGTGATTAAGAGTTTATGCCCAATAACAAAACAAAGCAAAAAAAAACAAAGCCCAAGCCCAGCTTTGTGGTGTTGACATAACAGGAAATACAGTGAGAAGGAAAGAAAAAGAGAAAGAGAAAGAAGAAAGAAAGAAAAACAGCTTTAATTGTGTATATCAAAGTGATCGATGGCTTTTGGGGTTTTTTTAGGATCAACCATTAACAGCAAAGGAACAAATAGTCAAAAAAATATGTTGTCAACTTAGGAGCTGCCACAAAGAAGATGATCTCAGAAAAAAATGGTTAGAAATGGAGGGCCAAACAAATTAACCCAAAGCTCTCGCCTGAAAGACAGATAA